CTAAATTCTAATCGAATTATGAAAAAAAAGCTAAACAAAACACCCCAAAAAAATTTTACATTTTCATAATAAAATAAGTCAAAATTTCAGCATGATCCGATTTCAGCATCATCCCCGACAATAATTAAAGCCATATTTAACTCACCTTGAAGCTTAAAAACTATATTAAAACTACTATTAAAGCTATATCTCAAACTATTATTTAAACTATAACTCGAATATAGTAATAAAATATTAATAAAATGTATATTTGCAAAAATATTTTATAGTTAAGTTTGGGTGATATTAGAGAAAATGTTTTTAATAGTTTATTTGGAGTTAGTTTTAGTTGTGTGATAGTAGTAAGTAGTTTTAAGCAATCAAGTTGTAATTTAAATTGTATTTTTGAGTAACAGTTTAAATTGTGTTTTTAGTTATAATTTGAGTAAATTTAGTTTAGGAATAATACAAAATTTGTTATTAGAATATTATGTTTTGAAATTGTTATTGAAATTATAGTTTGAATTATGCGATATTCTATAGAATAGATAGGCAAACTCTGAAAACTCCACAACTCTGCTATTAAAAAATTAATAATTACTAATCATTAGCAAACTTACTTCTTATATTACCCATCTATTCTATAAAATATCTATTTGGATCTTATAAATATATTTAATATCATTAAAAAAAACTCTAAAAATTTAAATATAATTTATATTTAAATTTTCAAGTTTTTTTAACAACACTTATTTATCAATCATTATACTAATAAAACACCAATATTAAAAATATTTTATCAATATTTTAATAATAATAAAACCATAAAAATTACTATTATTTAACTAACTTATTAATATTAAAAAACACTAATAATAAAATAATCTTGTAATAAATAATTAAAATTACTAACTTAATACTAATAGTATACTATATACTACATATTACTTACAAAAAATTATATATCTCAAAATTATCAAATTTATAAAATATTTATCTATAAATAAACTCTAAAATTCTATCAAATAAAAAATTTTTTATTCATCAAAAAAACTAATATTATACTAAACTTTACTAAATAATTTTACATTTTACAATTATTTATAAATACATTTTTTATTATAACAAAACTATTATTAAAATATTATTCTTTTAACAATTTTATATATCTCAAAAACAATAATACCCAAATATATAATTCAATATATTATACAATCAATTCTAAATATAACAAATAATTAAATAATTATTTATTCACTACAATATTCAACTACAACTCTAATTAATTAATAACTTTTTTTTATTATATAAACTATATTTTGTTTATTATATAAAAATATTTTTAATAAAATTTTATATATAAAAATAAAATTTTTATAAAATTTAAAAAAATTTAATATAATTTATAAGTTAAAACTAGTAAGTAGTAAAAATATTCTAGTTTTTAGAATAAAATATTTTTATATAACAATTTAATAAAATTTATAAATAATATATTTTTAAATGAATTTTACTAACTATAACCAGCAGTGATCATTACTGGTATATAATTAGCCAATAAAATTGCAGAATTAGGTGTAATATGCAAATTAATTTGTGTAACTAAAATAAAGATTTTTTTAAAAAAAGTGTCGATATCTCAAGAATTCGCCTACGAAACTACTTTCGACGTTTTAACAAAAAAAATTTTTCGCTAAATTTCGCATATATCTAATACCTTGCTAAAATCCCAGGTTTTACCCTAACTCTGAAGTAAATGAAATGAAATATTTTTTTAGTTTATCGTTATTGGCTAATTATATCACTACCGGTTATTTTAAGTAAAAATCTTTTTAAATAATATAAATATAAAATATAAATTTAGAAGTTTATTTTAGAAAGTTGCTATTTTCACAATTATTTTTTTATTTTTTTTTAATAAAACTTTGTTTATTTTATTACACATATGTAAATACATGTGCACACTTAGAAATTTTCTATATATATTATATATTGTCAAAAATAATTATCTCCAATAATAAGCTATTTTTATTTTTAGAAGAAAATATATAATTTTTTTAAATCTAAAAATAAGTTATTTATATAATTATTAGTAGTTACTATATAGTAAAGTCAAAATTTTACTAAATAAATCGATCTACTTTATTAAGTGAAAGTTGTTAGAAGAGTAAAATATACATATTTTGAAAATATATAAATCAAATAACTTTTTATTAATTGACTTTTGATTTTTACCTTTGATAAATATAAATTTTAAAAAAATTTAAAAAAATTTGTCAAACATAATATACAAAAATATATTAATAAAAAGTTATTTAATTTAGATGAAACTTTCTGAATATATGTATTTTGATCTTCTGAATAACTTTTACTTAATAAGGTAGATCGATTTATTTAGTAAAATTTTGACTTTACTATAGAGTAACTATTGATAATAATATAAATAGCTTATTTTTAGGCAAAAATACCATTCCTGATAGATTGTTGGTACTGTTCCTGATAGAGTGAAAAAAATTGATCTATATCCCATTTCTGATAGATTGCTAGGTAGATGTTATACAAACTGTCAAATTAATCAAAGTATGCTATGTAACAATTATCAATTTTTTAGATATTTAAAATGTTAGTTATTTTTAATCATCAAAGAAATCTAAAAATATTTTACTGTAACTTTGTTACGAAATTATACTGCTACTTTTTTTGATATGCCTGATTGCTTATCACAGTATTGTCAAATTATTGCATCTGAATTTGCCAATATTAATTATAATTAAGTATTTAAGGCGTGACTACGATTTAAAGCTCTTAATTTTACATAAATAAGTTATTTAAATTTTTTTTGTCTATTAGATGAAAAAATATTTAGTTGTATTAAGCATAAGTGTCACCCTTTAATATTTATATGGTTGTCATATATGCGAACTATCTACTTATTAAGAAGTATACTAAACTCAACTAAGAGATTAATTAATATGGATATATACTACAAACACCCTGCTTAATCATGCCAAAACAATTGATTCCTTTAGTGATAACTTTTCTTTTTCCTATATGGGTGCTGCCAAGGGAAAAGGGCGTTTCTATTTTTTTAAGCAAATATAATTTTAATATCCTTTTCTCTTGGCAGCCTTATATAAGACAGCTATCTAATAATAGAATTTATAGTACTTTTATTTTATTTATTTTGTTTAAAAAAAAATTGTTCTAACTATAATACTCACCCTTATATTGCCTATTATTCTCTGGTATAAGTTTTCTTCCTTGTTTTTTTTTCTGTTAGATATTGGAATTGTTTGTTGAAACATCAGCATTCTCTTGAACAATAAATGTCGATAAGTCCTACGCTTTATCTCTGTTAGCATTAATGTTAGTGTGACAAACAATTCAATTGAATCTTACTTTTAGTGACACAGAGAATCACTCAACAAATTCACAAGATTCTTAGGTTGACAATTGACCAATTTGTTATTTAAGAAACATATATAAGCATACAGTAGTACATGCTCTGAATTGACACATAATTATAAAATAATTCTGCTAAAGGATTTTGGACATACAGAATTCATAAACATATATTCATATTCCTTATTAAGGATTCGTAAACTAAGCATATATTTCCTTATAAACTGAGGATTCATAACCCAATTCTTTCTTATAGACAAAAAAATCCCAGGATCTCATAGTTCTATATAATTATCACATATTTATTGAGAATAATTTATATTTTATAAAAACAGCTTTACACAAGTACAATATATAGCTATTTTAAGTTGTTTAAGCTGTTATTGCATTAATTCATTTCTTTTATTGAAAAGAGAAAGAGGAAAAGTAAAGCATAAAGACAAGACTAAAGTTAAGTATATTATGTTTCTTTTGCATTCTTCATCTAGATTTTTCTATTACTAATCTACTGATATAATTTCATACCATTTTCAACAAGATTATCATCCAAACATAGTCTTTTTGTTACTGCAGCATTTGTAAACTCTTTGAATTCCAATCACACCCTTGTTCAAGAAATAATTCTTCTAATAATTTCTTCATCGCTAAAGCCATGTTATTTTTTTTTCACCATTTGATGTACATGACAAAAATAAAAATAAATATAAGTATATATTGATAAATAAAATAAAATAAATTTAACTAACGCTAATAGACCTACAGATTGAGTGGAAGCTCTACACTTATTATGAATTCTTGTAGTATTTTGTCTATGAATAGAAGGTGGAAGTTCTATAAATTTAAAAATATTAATAAGAATGCTTAAATTAATTCTAATACACTTGTTGAATTTAATATTTTTATATTCATCACTTTGAGTATATTTTGTAGATTCAGCAAAAGAGTTATCATATTTGTCATCATAAGCATTAATATTTTCAGTATCGCAAGTGTAATCTTGGCTGAAGTTGTTTAAATGATTCTTTGGTAACTTGTTATTTAGAGGTTTTTCAATAAGATTTGAAAATCAGCTAGATTTGCGATATTTTGCTCCATGTATTTTTGGTACTCTGACTGTTGTAGGAATTGAAATACTGTCAATTGAACAAAAAGGATCTTTCGTAGTTGTTTGATGTTCATTTGGAAAAAAATATCATCACCTATAGCATTAAAGAGTTGTAAAATCTCTTGATAGGCTTGTTCACTTGAACCATTATAAATAAGATAATTTTTATTCTCTTGCGCAATTGCTCTCTCCTTATTTTTGAAATGCTCTACTAATTTTTCTTTTAACATCTTGTTTTTGTAGTTTTCCACGTGATAAGTCTATATAAATTCGTGCTGTGTAAATGTGTTTACAAGCATCTCTAAATGATCTATTCCAGACATAATCATAACATATGTACTCATTAGTTAATATATTAATGAGATAATAAGATACCGGTATGTTAATATTATTACGGTTGATTAATTTAATAATCATCTTATCAATTTGTTTTGACATCTCTGTTAAAATATTAATATAATGATTATTATAAGATAAAAAATATTGTGCTCTGCTTTTTAACAAACATATAATTTGTTTGTTCAGGTATTGGAATAATGAAATCGAGTAGTGCATAAAGGCGACCTTGATTTATATGATATTTTTGATCAATCAGCTTTTTGAATAGCATTTGTTTGTGTTCGATCGTACGTATATTTCAGTAAGTTGCTAGACCCGCATCAGATATTGTTTCACCTAGCTCACTTTGAACTAATGACTTTTTAATAAATTTGACACCATATAAACGCTTAATGAAGACTGAACACAACAAACTCTTCCCGACGATCACTTGTACCAAATTTTCTCTAAAAATAATTACTCTATTCTCTAAATTCTACTAAGTAAACCTACTTTGGC